TGATGATATTGTGTTTCCCAATATATTGTGCACTCTAATAATCTTATCTAGAGTCAGAGAACAGAACAGACACTGGATTAGACATATAGTCCAGTAAATGGTGGCACACACGCCTTTAATCCTAGCATTACAGAGGCAGAGATCGGTCTGGATCTCTGTGAGTTCAAAGCCACACTGGAAACAGCAAGCCATGGTGACACACACCTTTAATCCCAGGAAGTGATGGCAGAAAGCAGAAAGGTATATAAGGCATGAGGACCAGGAACTAAGTTTTGTGTAGCTTTTAGGCTTTTAACAGCAGTCCAGCTGAGATCCATTCCAGTTTGAGGAAACAAGATCAGCTGAGGAATTGGCGAGGTGAGGTTGGATGTGAATTGTTCTGTTTCTCTGATCTTTCAGCGTTCATCCCAAACCTGCCTCTGGGTTTGTTTTTCTTAATAAGACCTTTTAAGATTCGTGCTACATCTTGAACTTCTACTGAATCTCCTTCTTATATCTCCCCAGGGTTGGGAACACAGTTCTCAGCATGTTTTTTAAATTTTAGACATGGTTTCTGTAATTAGCCCAGGTTTACCCTGGGCTAATGCTCAAAGAATTGTCTTCTGGAGTCAGCTTCCTCAGGGCTAAGGTTCCAGAAGTGAATCTGCACCATCAGCTGTCACTGCTCTGGCATTTCTGCTGTTCTGTTCATTAAGACTGACCTCTTTCTGTAACTCAGGTTGGTTCAAACTAGTGATCGCCCTGAGCCTGCATCGGAAATGCTGCCAGGCAGTGTTTGGAGGAGTTGTCTAATCCAGTCACTAAGAGATTCCTAGTACATGAATATAGTCGGTACAGTTACTTTGTTGTGGTTGTTGTTGGTCTTGTTGTTTAGAGAGCCACAGAAGACACTGCACATTTGGCTGTCACATCAGAACTGAAGGAAGAGAATGGAAACGAGGAAATGGAGAATCCCTCAGGCACCAACTTGTAATAATGCTGCCTGTGAGGGAAAATATCCTGTGCCATGTCCTCCTCCCCAGTCTAAACTCCATTCCTAGGCCCCGAAGAGGGACAACTCTGGGGATGGGGGAGCTCTTCTCAGCATCCTGGGGTCCTGGTTTTCAGTCATGGCTCTCCAGGAAGGAGTCAAGCTGTGAGCTTAAAATGGGGGAGCTTCCCATGTGGTGACTGCACCCTAGAAAACCTTCCCTATTTACTGACATGTATTGTAAAACAGAAAAGACACCTACATTTGTCCCAGTGACCCTGTGTCATGATTGATAGGACTCAGGAAAATACTAAATCCAGGGCTTGTTTACAAGGCTTTCTCATTTCCCAAACACTCATACCTCCTAGTCTGGCTGGGATGGACCAGGAAGAATCTGAATAGTGGGAGATGAGCATATGTGTGAAGTCTATTGCTCTCATCACACTCCTCTGCCCCCGCAGGTCATTCAGTCCGATCATGGAGTGACTGGGAAATCATGGTCTTCCTAAAGGAGTGGGAAGTAGTTGAACAGGAAGTTGGCCTCCCAGGGAGGGAGAACCAGAGGAAGTCCAGGGCTGTTTCCTGGAGACTCTATCACAGAGGCCTGAGGAAGAGCTGGAGGAGCTGTTTCCCCCTGCTGCTGAGCCTGCAGGATCTGTCCAGGACTCTGTGTGAGGAGAGACCCAGGAGCAGACCCTTGTTTTCTCCTTATGTGTGGGCTCTGCACAGGATCCTGGGCTCCAGGCACCAACACAGACACTCTGCAGGTGTATTCTTTATTCTTTTCATCCCGTATCCTAGGGAGTGTCACCCATGGGCACAATTAATCCTCATCCCTAAGCAGAGCAGAGAATGACAAGACCACCCACTGCCCACAGCTGCCCCTGCATGGCCGGGAAGCACTTGGCATTCTTCAGGCTGGACTAACTCTGTGAGACCTGGAGGCTTGCTTTGGGACTTGTTCACAACAGAAATGACTAGGTGATTTCACAAGCACTGAAGAAAGGAGAGTCTGGAGGAGATGCTTAGAAGTTCTCTGTTTCTTTTCTCAGCTCCTCTCTGTGATGGTCACACCCACGTCCAGCTTGGCCTAAGCCCTCAGAATTGAAAATTCATGACATGCTCAGTGTACCTGCAGACTCCTGTGTATGCCAGCTTCAGCACTGTGTCACGGCCGTTGGGAATCTTCAGTTGGCACCATCACCAATGCAAACCCTGCAGGATCATTTCAGCAGGATCATTTCAGCAGGAGCCCTCCCCGGTCACTGACACTCCTAGTTCATGACTCTGTTCCAGGAGAAGAGATTAGGACGGGCCTGGAGGGGCACCTGGGAAGGTGATCAGGGACCCGACTTATCCCTTGCTTACTTTCTGTTGTTATGTCCTTCTTTCCTTTCTGATTTTGTTAATTTGGATATTCTCTCTCTCCCTTTTAGTTAGTAGAAAAGGGTTGGTCGAATTGACTTTCTCAAAGAACCAACTCTGTTTTACGGATACTTTGTATTTTCTCTTTGTTTCTCTTTTATTGATTTCAGTCCTCAGTTTGATTGCATCTTACATTCTTGTAATTTTTGGGTAGCTTATTTTTTTTTTCTAGAGCTTTCAGGTGTGTTGTTAAGTTGCTAATATAAATTCTTTCTGGTTTTTTTTTTTTTTAAATGTAGTCACCTAGTGCTATGAAGTTTCCTCCTAGCGCCAATTTCATTGTGTCCCATAAGTTTGGGTGTGCTATGAACTCATTTTCTTTGTTTGGTAGAAAGGCTTTCATTTTTGGGGGGAGGGGTTTGTTTCTGCTTTTGTTTTTTTGTTTTGTTTTTCTCTGTGTAGTCCTGGCTGTTCTTGAGCAGGGGTGTCCCCCTGAAATGAGGGCTGGGACACAGGGATGGGTGGGAGCAAGGAGGTCAGGAGGGGGTACTCTGAGAGATCCACAGAAGGCATGGAGAGGGAGGAAGGGAGGCTGGCTTTCTGTTGCAGTGGTAGAGAGCTGAGGGTTGGGTCTGCTGAAGAACCAGAGAGCCTGAAATGGGTTCTTAAATGTGAGGGAGGAGACGAGAAGACCTAGAATGCTAACGTGGAGTCTGAAATGTGTGATAGGTATTTGTGAAGCTGCAGGAACCTGGAGGCCAACATGCATTGGGGAGTGCTGACATGGAGTCTGAAATGTGTAAAGGTACTTCATTCTCAAAAGAGTGAAGAAGAAGGTGATAATGGCCAGAGAAGCTAGGAGTCCTGCACAGGAATGGAGGAGGTGTAGTAAATCTCCAGGTCTCTGGAATAAACAGTTCCGGCACAAGAACCCTGTGCTACAGTAGCAGTGATTTTTCAGAGTGGGTCCGGGTGTCTTAAGGGAACTGATTTTGGACTTGTTCAGAGTGGGCTATGACACATAGCAAGAGAAGCCGGTTAGCTCGATTCTGGGAGAGTGGGGTGTCATGCTTATGATCTCCCTGTTTTTATGGCTGGCAGGTCCTACCTATGATGCCGCTGATGACCTCTGCTTCCCATGAACACACAACCTCCAATGATTTTACGGTCTCCCTGTACCAGCCTTGGTATTATGGCATCCCTGTTCCTTCTGCAGAGCTACAAGGAAACCCATCACCTGTGATGTCCAGAGAGAATTCCCTGGTTCCCAGATGAGAGCCCTAGAAGCCCAGCCATCCTTGGACAATCCACACGTTCTTCCTGTCTTTGTCCCAGGAGATGCCAGCATCTGGCAGCTGTGGTGAATCAATACCAGGTGAACAAGAGAAAGAGAGAGCAATGGGACAGGGCACGAGTCCTCCAACACTCAAAGCTTTTCTTTACTCACATACTAACTTAGCAAAACAGGAGCCCCTAACCCTAACAAAGAGGACCAAGAGCTGTGGAACAAAAGATGAAGAATGAGAGACCATGAGACACAGAATGAAACCACCAGTTTGTGTTCCTTCCTATCCTAAAAATAGTTCCTGATATAGGAAAGAGTCTCTGAATTTTTTCTCCATTGCATGCATAAGCCACTGTCTTTGTGTGTCTGATACCACCCAACATCATCCCGGCTCCATCCAGTTCACATTGCAATGTGGAGAAACTGAGGCTGTGAGACATTGAACAAGAATGACCAAAAATGAAAATGGCAGGAGCACAGGTCTATGGAAGTAGAGGTCGCCCTGGTGAGAGAGGAGACCCCATGCCAGGAGTCAGATGGAGAGAGATGGGAGAGGGCAAGTCCCAGGTCACAAGGGAATGAACCTCAATAACAATCCGTAACCCCTCTTTACTTATGGGCCCCACTAAAGAGACAAGGACAAGTCAGGAGAGCTTTACTTCAGGGACATTTATGGACTTTATTGATTTTTATATTGTCCTCTCTTTGGAGGTAGAGAAAGAAGCCTAAACCCAAAACGGTGCACAGTCCTGAGGTTTTCAGAGAAGAAACAATAAACTCCACTAGTCTTCATTGAGAATCTGGTTGTTAATTAGAGTTTGACCACAGCTGCTGATGCTGGAGGCCCCAGAGTCCTGGATCACAGGCTGGAAGTAGGTGTGGAACTGAGGATGGACAGCAGTGCTTCTGTTCTGCCACATGAGAAATGGGTAATCTCACTGGGACATCATAGGCAATGGGTTCCCTTGAAGCTGTACAGAAGAACCAGGGACGCTGTGATCTCCAGGCTGGTCCATGGAAGGTTCAAGGTTCTCGGGAGGCAGGTGATTACCAAACCCTTCACAGTAGAGAGGACCTGAGAGGAAGAAGAAATGGAGAAAGTTCATAAGCATGGCACCTTCACTATCCCAGAATCTTCCTAAGCCATGGTCTGTCTATCCTGTGTGTCTTGGTCCACCCAGAACATGTCCAATGTGCACTCCCCTGGGGTGACAGAGGAAGGTAGAGAGAGAGGACAGGTGTTTGTGTTCACCATGTGCAATAGTGGTCCCTGGGAATGGGGGTTCCCTCTAGACTCTGCTCTGCTCTATGCTCATGTAGGACAGCCCAGCCCATGCTGCCCTCTAGTGGAATTGGCCGAGGAATGCAGAAGAGACTAACATGGGGCGTGGCCCAGGATGCTGTACAGGTCTTCTGAGAATGGAGAAAACAAGGGTATGGTGTCTCCTCTCCCATTGCACAGTCTCCTGTGCAGATTCTGCAGGGTCAGCAGCAGGTCCACACAGCTTTCCCAGCTCTTCTTCAGGCCCCGATGCCCATTGACTCGCTGGTAAAGAGCCCAGCTCTTCTGGTAGATCTTGCTGCCTGGGTGCCCAATGATCCCTTCAACTACTTTCCACTCTTGGAGGAAGATCCTAATTTCAGTCTCAGACCATGGGTGTGTACAGGAAGGACCTGCCATTGAAGGAGGGAGGTGATGAATGACTTTAATACCATGCACGGTCACATCTCAACATTTCTAAGGACTCTTCCTACACGATGAGAGAAGCCAAGAGTGGACTCTTTCAGTTCTCAAGAGATTAGGAACCCTTGCTTCCAAGCCCAGGCTTACCATCTGCCCTGCTCGTCATACAGAGGAGTACACTTGTTTGCAAGTGTAGCCCCCTTCAGTTGTAGAAAATACATTGCAGAACAGAAATGGCTCTCAGGGGACAAGTGTTTCCTGGGGACATTGTCCCTACATAGACTCAACCCACAGCTGTCTGTGCCTGAGGTCCTGCCTGAGCTTGCATGTCTCAGATGAAAGAAATAATACCAGCAGTTCCAGGCATCCTATGCTACTGGTGCAGAGTGGGACAGCCCAGAATCCCTGCGACCCTCTCTCCCAAAGGAGAAGAAACTAACAGCAACAACAACAGCAAAAATGACAAACAGATGCCTCCCTCCCTTCAGGAGTCCACATGCAGGTCTTCCAGTTGACTTCCCCTTGGGCTGGGCCTTAAAATCCATAGTAACTGTCTCAACCCACTGTACCTTTGGTGCTCTGTGAACGGGTGGTTTTCCCTCCACTGTATCACATGTTGTGTGACTCCTCTCCTCGATGCAATCTCAGCAACTGGCCCAGCAAGGGGTATGAGGGGACAGAAGTGGATGGTCGTATTTGAAAACAGAATGGGTTGTGGGAATGCTGGGGTCATGTGAGATCCGGTCTCTGTAAACTCAAGCTAAGAAAAGCCAACAACAAATGGAAGATTTTTTTTTTTTAAATTGCATCATTCCCCAGCACTTGAAAATTCCTGACCTGGGTCACTGTACAAGACAGTCGGCCATGTTCTCCCTGAGTTTCATCCACAATAAAGTGAACACGGTAGCAAGACCTCCCATCACAGCAGCTGGAAGGGGCGATGATGGAGTGCTCATGGGGAGTGGGGAAGGGTTCAAAACACAGACATTGAGGCTGTCACCAGGACTGAGATGAAACAAAAGACAAAAGACAGCAGGGCTGGAATGTCAGGGCCAGAGTTGGCAGACTCACAGTGCCCTTCCTTACAGGAGTCTCCACTCTGCCACCACGACTGCCTTTTCCACAGGCCAGGCTGCGCTGCTGCCCCCCTTTTCTCCACTGCGTCCTTTTTTTGTGCAAGTTGGTGATGTCCATGGAGGATTCCATTGTTTCCTGAAGGGAGCCCTGCATTCCCAGCCATCAGGTGTCAGTCCCAATCCTCTTCCTGTCTTTATCACTGAAGAATCCACCCTCCAATTGCATTGGCCATCTATAACTGTGGTCCTAAATAACACCTTGATCCTCAATGAAGACAAATTAATAAATTTTTCTCTCCTCTCTACATCCTCTGAATCACATGGTGTTTTAGGTTTATGCCTCTTTCTCTATCTTATAAGATAACAATAAGTGAAGTAAAATTAAAGTTTATGAAGTAACTCTCTCTTGCTTTATACTTTTTTTTTTTTTTTTTTTTTTTTTTTTTTTTTTTTTGGTTTTTCGAGACAGGGTTTCTCTGTGCAGCTTTGCGCCTTTCCTGGATCTCGCACTGCAGACCAGGCTGGCCTCGAACTCACAGAGATCCGCCTGTCTCTGCCTCCCGAGTGCTGGGATTAAAGGCGTGCGCCACCACCGCCCGGCTTGCTTTATACTTTTATGTCTTTGTGGACCTTGAGTGCAGAGGCACAGGAGATGGTACTGGTTTAAGTTATTCCCCCATATCCTCGGACTCGCACTTTCCACTCCATAGCCATTAGATGTGACATGCATTCTCTTCTCTCACCAGGGCATTCTCTACTCTCATAGTCGTCCTGTGTCTTAGTTAGGGTTTCTATTTCTGTGGAGAGACACAATGACCTCGGTAACTCTTATAAAGGAAACCGTTTAATTGGATCTATCTTAAATTGCAGAGTGTAGTCCATTTTCATCATGGTGGGTGGCTCGCAGGCAGACAAGGTGCTGGGGAAGAGACTGAGAGTTCTACATCTTGATCCGCAGGTGTCAGAAGCAAGTGAAGAACACTGAGGGTGGCTTGAGCAAAGGGGACCTCAGAGCCCACACACCCAGTGACACACTTCCTGTAACAAGGCCACACCCACTCCAACAAAGCCACACCCACTCCAACAAAGCTACACCTACTCCAACAAAGCCACATCTCCTAATAGTGCCATTTCCCTAGGAGGGTCATTTCCTTTTCAACCACCACAAAAGGTTCCCCAGGTGAGCCATGAACTCAGGATCCTTCTGTCTCTGTTCCCACTAGCAGAGATTATAGCCATGTTCCCCAACATTCAGAATTTTACTTCCTTTAAAGGAAACAGGATTATGTCTTTGATGTTAATTCTGACATAAGACAAATATGCTAGATAGGATATTTTTGTGTTATTTGCTATAATTGTATATGAAATTATAATAATCTCAAACATTTAAAAATAGGTTAAAAAAGTTGGCCACTTATAAAAGAGTAATGCATTTAATACACACAGGCAACCTGCTCTCTATGTTAATATTCATCCTAGACTGTCTTCTGATAAAGAATTAACTTCAATTTGCATTTTTGGACTAGAATTGCACTCAGAATCCTGCACATGCTACTCAGGCACTCTAGCACTGAGCTACATCCCCAAACCTAGGACCTTGAATTATCATGGGAGGAATTTGATCCTAAAAACTGTCAGGTCTAACAGAAATTCCATTCCTCTCTGCTCTCCCTCTCCATCTATCCTGCCCATCTCTTTCTGCTCATTTTCTCTCATTGGCAGGGCCTGTCTGCTGCTGTATTCAGTTTACTACTTTCCTGGCTTTTCATTCCTTTTTTTAAGATAGTAATTTTATTGAATCTTTGGAAATGTCCCATCTTGCACCCAATCACACTCACTCCCCCATCCTTCTATAGCTGCCATGTGTTGGGATTAAAGGCATGTGCCAGCATACCTGGCTATTGAATTAACTCTTGTTTAGAGAACTAGATCTACTACACCATACCTTATATGGAACTTGGATTCGAGTCTTGTTTGTGAAAAATGGGACTTGCTATCAACAAAGGTTTGGTGTACAAGGTATGTGTGATAAATAAGGAAATTATCACTTCCTATGCTTTTAAAGAGCTACTCAGGAAAACAGAAACTGACTTAGAAATGTGTGGCTATGCACTGTTGTCTTTGATAGCTGCTGTGGATTTATCCTTCTGCATACTGTGAATATGTATTCCTCTCATTGGTTAATAAAGAAGCCAATGGGCCCATAGCAAGGCAGGATAAAGTTAGGTGGGACAGTCATACTGAGGATGAAGAGGGGCAGAGTGAGAGAGCAGGCAGCAGAAGCAGAGAGAGCAAGATGGGCACACCAGACTGAGAAAAGGCACCAGGGCACATGGCAAAGCATAGCTTAGAAATGGGTGTTCATTTAACTGTAAGAAATACCCAGCAACAAGCCTGAGCGATTGGCTGAGCATTTGCAGTTAATATGAAGCCCCTGAGTGATGATTTAAGATCAGGCCATAGTACAGAAACACTCCACCTACAGAGCTATATTCTACACTAAGCTTCCAGAAAATTTGAGATAAGGAACAACATACATTTGATGAATAAGATATTTTTGAGAAATAAATTCATTAACAGGGTAAAACTTTCATTTACAGGAAAATCTTGCATCTATAGAGAAAACTTTAGCCTCCTATAAATGTGGTCAAGGTTAAATCAGAAGGAAGTAACTAATTACCAGTGAAGTTTGCCTAAAAGAGGTGTGCTTACTAGATTAGATGATGGCCCTCAAGCCCCTCAGAGATCTAGTGACTCTGGCTTTTAGGGTGTTGAATGCAAGAGAAGAGCAGGAAAAATTGGAAAAGCTTCAAGTGATAGACAGAAATCCCAGACCCTAGCACAGCCCTAAGGTCTCCTCCAAAGACCATGGGGCACAAGGAAGTCCACTGACATATTCCTTCAAATGTGGCAGAGCCAGCCACTGGGGGAAGAGCTGCCCATCCCCCCACCTGCTTCCAGGACCCTACCAGACTGTGGATGAGTAGGACACTGGAGAATTGATTGTCTGTCTTTTCCTTGCCAAGAAAGTTCATTCTTTCAATTTCCTCATGCCCAGGAAAGTTTCTTTGATTTTCTGGGCTTGATTAGTGAAGTCAAATGCCACCCTGGGACTTCTGCTCCTTACAAAACCTTTCAGATTACCACGGGGGATCCTAGAGCAACCATCCAGGGAGCAGATAAGTTCATGTCATTTTAATTGAATGAGGCCATTTGGATTCTTGTTGTGGAATATTAGTTGAAGATGTGTTACATTCCTTATGCTGTGGAATGCAAAATTCTGTTGAATTCTTTTATGTTGCATTTGTAAAATTCTGTGAAACTGTGTTACTTCGCCTACCTGAAACACCCCATTGTTCTCATAAATAGCTGAATGGCCGATGGCTAGGCAGGAGAGAGTAACAGGCGGGGCTGGTGGGAAGAGAGAATAAATATAGAGAAGAGAAGAGGGAGGAGCAAGAAAAGGAGAAGGAGGAGGACTCCAGGAACCAGCCACCCAGCAATGCAGCCAGCCAGAGTAAGAAGGAAAGAAAGACATAGAGAATGGAAAAACACAAAAGCCCAGAGGCCAAAGGGAGTTGGGACAATTTAAGGTAAGAGAAACTGGGTAGAAATAAGCCTAACCAAGGCCCGGCATTCATAAGTAAGAATAAGTCTCCATGTATTTCTTTGGGAGCTGCAAGGTAGGCACCCATAAGAGTAAAAAACAAAAAGAAAACTACAGATTATACTTCCTGCTGTAACTTATTCTTGTCGTATCTCATCCATGGAGTACTGATAAACTGTTAATCTAGACTTGGTAAAGACCTGGTACTATTATCATAGTGACATGCTCAACATCTAAATTCCTTAGGGTGTTATCTGAATATAGAGATAAAAATATGCCTCCTATGCTGTAAATGTCTTTGTCCGATACATATATTTCCTTCCTGACTTTTAATCAACGCCCCCAACTCCAGCAGCACTGGCCTGGAAGTTTCAAGTGCACACAAAAGGCCT